TACGAATCGCATACTTAATACCAATTTCGCCCTTACGCAAACGAACACCACATACACTAGTCAACATGTACTTCTCAAGAGCAACCATCGTCTCCGCCATCTTCGGCCTCGCGTGCGCACAGGAGTCTTCCATGTCCATGTCCATGGGCTCTGCTACTGAGCCAACTCTCTCCTCAGCAGTACTCGGTAGCGTCTCGACTTCCACACCGGCCGCCATGGCAGGAATGGTCATGACGCACGTAGTCCAAGTCGGAGGACCCAACGGAAGCCTGACCTTCTCTCCCTCCAACATCAAGGCACAGCCCGGAGATCTTGTCCAGTTCCAATTCCACCCCAAGGTACGTGCTATCACACTCCCTACTTCTATCTCTCCAACTAACAATACTCCAACAGAACCACTCCGTCGTCCAATCCACCTTCGACAACCCATGCACCCCCATCCAAAACATCATGTCCAACAAGACCGACGCCTTCTTCTCCGGCTTCATGCCCACCAACGCCTCCCTGACCGCCACAAGCCAAGTCCTCACCTACACCATCCGCGTTGCAGACGAGAAGCCCGTCTGGTTCTACTGCTCCCAGGGAAAGCATTGCCAGGCTGGTATGGTCGGCGCCATCAACGCGTAAGCCACACTCTCTTGTATAACCCACATCAATACACTAACACTATGCCCAACAGTCCCGCATCCGGCAACAAGACAATGGAAGCCTTCGTCGCCCTCGCCGCTCAGGCTACTGAGAACCTCTCCCCCGGCCAGGCTGCTGGCTCTGGTGGCGCATCTGGAAACACACCTACCTCGCCTTCAGCTGGCGGTGGCGCAAACTCTGGCACTGATGGCACATCCGGTGGCGCTGCAGGTGGCGATGCTAGCGGTACTGCCAGCGGTGCTCCCGCCCAGCAGACTGCCAACACTGCGGCCGCTGGTTTCAGCGCCCAGAGCTTCATTGGGGCTGCGGCGGCTGCTGTCCTTGCTGCTGTCGCTGCCTTGTAAGGTGCATGATTCGAAACTTCTTTTTCTGGTGTGATTATGGGGAGTTCATCTATCGTTGTGAAGATGGACGGTTGGAGGTTGTATGCAAGAATGGCATTATTTCAGTTTATGTGATACCACGTTATTTGCATGGCTAGCATTGATCTGAGCTGGGCTTTGCACTTGGATCTGCGGTCATTGGCGCTTTTGCTTTGAGAAATTGGTAGAAAATAATAGAGACGAATATTGATTGCTCGTATAAACTTTCTTCGGACTATTTGGTGAATGAGCATGCTCGAATTGGCCTTGTTATCTTCAGGCTCTGTCTACCACTTGATAAACATTCTTACTTTGCGACTTCAAGTTTTCTCAACTTCTACGACGAGACTCGAAGAGGCCTAAGATGGCTAGCATGCACCCTCTTACCAATCAACGTCAGCGGGGAACACGTGCGTAGAACAGTGGATGCGTATAGGTCAAGCGGTGGAGATATGCGGGTGGGGAAAACGTGCAACACGACTCACAACACTGTGCACAAAAGAGCCCGGGTAGATTACTCCAAGGAGTATGTGCAACGTCCGGTCGAGACCGACCTGAAAGCATCGTGAGGATTGGCTCTGGTGTTGCTGCCGCGGCGGATCTCGCGTTCATGCACCATGATGTCATGCAACCGAGCTAAAAGTTTTCACCCTGCACCTGCATCCGTTGCCCGCAGAGCCTCTTGCCATCTATACCCCAATCGGACGACTACGGCATGATGATCAATTGCCAGACCGCATTCTTACATACCGCGGCTGGAGCCGATAAAGGCTCTTTCTTGCTGCCGGCCTGAGGTGCCACTGACCCACTCAGACGCGACAGTCTGAAAGATTTCGTCAACGTCGCAACGCGATTAGAGCGAGGCAACTCTCTTGCGAGCGTACCTGTGTTTGTAACGGACACAAGGAAGCCAAATAAGTCAAGCATTATCGGGTGACCACCTTAGCTGCTTGAGAACTTGTGGGTTTTCGACCCACTTGGCCCATTCTTTGCTTGAGCCGCATGCAGATCTACGGACGTTTGGCCTGTCGGGAGGTGAGCGCACGTCGGCAAGAAGTGGATTAAGCACATATCTACTAGTTTTTCGCTGCATGGACGAAGCTTACCGTCACATAGTTGGGTCCACAAGACACAACCGCCAAAGAGCACCCCGACATGGCCAGGCTAGGCCCACCCTGAGACACACTTCATCGCCCAGGTCGTCGATGTCGTCGATGGCATCTATCACCCCGATCTCAACGTCAAATTTTAGGCCGATTTTGTACGAAATGGGTTCGCAACAATGGATCCCATTGTGACAGGCCCCTCTCTGAGTGGAGAGTCGTTCTTCGCAACGGGCTTTCTCCTCAGACGTCATTCTGGAGGTGGATGCCAAATGTGGACTTTTGTTGGGTTCAAGAGGGCCTTAATACCCCAACCCGCACCCCGACTCTCATCTCCAGCTTCTTCGTCCAGCCCACCTTACGATGACGGAACGCGAGTCCAGGCACCCTTCGCCCGCCCGAGCTGGGTCAGGCCCAATTTCTGAGAAGGATGATACCTCGCGACGCCCAAGCATCCCAGCCGAGACTAGCGAGGAGGAGAAGTGGCATGTCGATGTCCCTGTCGACCCTCAAGGAAACCACCACCCGTCGATGATCCGTGCAGACGGGAAGCGCGAGCTGAGAGAATGGGAGTGCTGGGATAAGCTCGCATACTCATGGCCCAAGTGGAAGAAGGCCATGTATCTGGCTTCCATTGCTGGAATCCAAATCTCCATGAACTTCAACACGTCGGTCTATCCTAGCGCCGTCAACCCCATCTCCGAGCACTTCGGGATTAGCGCACAGGCAGCGCGCGTTGGACAGATGATCTATTTGGTCTTCTATTCCTTTGGCTGCGAGCTATGGGCGCCATGGAGTGAGGAGTTTGGTAGATGGCCAATTCTGCAGCTCAGCATGTTTCTTATCAACATCTGGGAAATTCCATGCTCCGTCGCACCGAACTTCGCCACCATTATAGTCTGCAGAGCTCTTGTAAGTCTCCTCCGTACTTAGTACTTCCAATGCTGATGAGTGTCAGGGTGGTCTCTCCACAGCAGGAGGCAGTGTGACTCTTGGTCTCATCGCGGACATGTACGAGCCGGAGACGCAGCACTGGCCGCTGTGCTTTATCGTCTTGTCGTCTACGATCGGAACCTCTATCGGTGGTGTCATTGGCGGCCCTATCGAAAAATACCTTTCTTGGCAATGGAACTTTTGGATCCAGTTGATCTTCGGCGTTGCTGTGCAAGCGGTACACTTCTTCATGCCTGAGAGCCGAGCTACCATTCTCATCGATCGCGAGGCCAAGAGACGTCGCAAGACTGGCGAAGATCCCAACATCTACGGACCGAATGAACTCAAATCGCCACGAATTTCGCTCAAGGAAGCCGGGAAGATCTGGCTCCGTCCGTTTGAGATGTTCGTTCGGGAACCAATCGTCTTGTGCCTGTCGCTACTCTCCGGTTTCTCCGACGCTCTGATCTTCACGTTCCTGGAAGCATTCAACGTCACATTCCCGAACAACTTCGGTTTCGGCACACTTCAAGTCGCATGGGCTTTCATTCCTATCAACGCTGCGTACTTCTTCACCTACTTCCTGTACTGGCCCTGGTTCTGGCGCGATGATCACCTGCGCAAGAAGAACGGCCCCGACTGGATGACACCAGAGCGACGATTAAAGCCGCTTCTTCTGCTTGCGCTGTTCGAGCCTATCGGGCTGTTCGGATTTGCCTGGACTTGTAAGTTGATTTCTGAACACCATCAATTGAACTTCAGCTAATGGTGACACAGGTATGGGACCACCGCAAACGCATTGGATCGCACCGATGATCTTCTCCTTCCTCGTCGGACTGGCAAACTTCGCCATCTACTACTCCTCCGTCGATTACATGATCGCCGCCTACGGACCATACTCGGCTTCGGCCACCGGAGGAAACGCGTTCGCTCGTGATTTCCTCGCTGGTATCTCCGCCATGTACGCCACACCCATGTACAACAACCTTGCATCGTCAAGCCCCCAGAAGTCCGAGTACGCCACTACCCTACTGGCATGCCTGTCCTGTTTGGTTGTGGCACCAATCTACGTCTTCTACTGGAAAGGACCCCAGATCAGAAAGGCTAGTAAATTTGCATCTCTTCTTGCGGAAGACAGGAAGGCGGAGGGCGTCAGGCGACTCAGTAAGGCTGATAACCTTGAGAACCTCACCGCGTAAGCTTCCAGTCACGAAGTCCATGATACCCCAACTATCCTACATGACGGGTTCGGACGCGTCATTGAAGGTATTGATCTTTTCACGCAATATACCCGAGTCTTGAAACATTCATAAATTGGCCACGACTCTGTTTATGTTCTGCACATCACTTCATGAGCATGAACTGGATATCCTTGTTGTATAATAGCTATGCGATCACGAAGTCGCGGCAGAATGATGTACAATGGGTTAGCTCTCAATTTGTAGCAGGGTCAAGACTCACATTGCACGGGGACTACGAAACGTCAGATAACCTTCAGTAGAATATGATCAATACACCGACATAATTACAGCCACCAAGTGCTCATCTGACTTTCACTACAATCGATATGCTGTGTCTTCACTTGACACCACAAATTCCCATTGATATGAAACCGACCACTCTCACCGAATCGAACCGCTCAACATCAGATATCCACCCGCTCTATACTCACAATGTCAGCGTGGCATGACTCATCTTGGCCATCCGCGTTCTTGCACAAGAAGTAAATCGGAGATGTTCGCAGACATCGCTAGAAGCAATGCCCTGTATAAAACAGTGACCTGAACTATTCCCGAATAGTCCCAAAGCAAACACCACCGTGAAAGTCTGAAGCTTAGTGAACTGTTAAGCTAAGACATATTGGAAAGACACTGAGATACCGATTCGGGATTTACGGTGCCATCACATACTCAACGATAATCTCGAAGTCTATCACACATACGCATTTACCAGCATGACTTTCGGCGCGACTCAGATCCTAGCATTCTTGAAGATGCGCAAGACCAAACCGACCAGACGACCAACCGAAACCCTCACCACCACCACACCTTCCGAAAACCCCAAAGTCCCGGAAACCCAACAAAACTTCGTACGTGTCTACCCTTCCTCAGCACCACCCCGGTATGCTAACCGTCCAGCCGGCTCCTCCAGGTTCCGGGAAAGACTCAGCTTGGATATGACGGCTCCGAAGAACTCTGCTGAGCAAGAGCAACCGCGACGCTTGATGGAAAGTATGGCTATGGTGCGTGAGACCACTGTACAGGAGCATAGGCGAGATGATCGCCAGGCTTGTGTGCCCCAGGTCAAGGAAGTCGTCTCCAGTGTGTCCAATCTCATCAAGAGCGCTGTGGGGGTTGTTAGACTGCGTTCTAGGTCGCCTTCGCGGTCGCCATCATCGATTGGTGATTCTATTAGCGACGAAGAGCCTTTTTGTGTACTCGCTTACTGGCCTAAAACGGAAAAGCTGAATATGCCGCGACCGCCTCCTCCGGCTGCAGTATATCTCCAACGTTCCAACGCTGTGAGGTATCGGAATCGTCCGCGCCCGCAGTCGCGGGATCAACAAGATGATATGCTTTGTTATCACCCTGGTGGTGAGGCAGATGAGTATTTCTTGCAAGATGTCGGATATGGAAACGGGGGACCTGGACGCCATTCACATTCAGTACCCCCGGACTTTGCTCACACCAAATCACAGCAATGGGAAGGTGCGAACGTCAAAGGTATGACATACTCCCATGTTGAATGCTACGCGCTGCCTCAGGTAGGCAGTCCGCAGTATCGTTCATACGCCGATATGGTAGAGGATGGATGCCGTCCGCGTTTGCGTGTCACGAATCGCACTACTATAGATTCTTCTCCACAGTCGTCGCTATCATCAAGCGAAGGTTCCTTCGCTAACGAGGACACGAACTTCCGCGCACAGCTCGCAGCTTCAGCATCACTGTGCTACCGGACTGATGTTGATATCCCAGACGACGTCTCAGTCTCATCAACATCGTCATGGCCAGATTACCCGGAATATCACGTCGATAGAACAGATGATGTTTCTGATGGTATATCAGAAGCATTCCGAGCAGCTCGGCGTTTCTTCCTGGATGAATGGTCAGTCGAAGAGGCTGTTCCGGCGAAATCTCGTTTTTCGCTTTGCTCGTCCGAGGATGGTGAGCTTGGGGATTGTGGGAATGAGCGGAAATGTGTTGGCGATGGCGGATTAAATGAAGTTTCAGACGACGCAACAGAGGCAGTACCGGCCGTTAGACGGTTCTCTCTCGATGAGGGGTCGTTTGAAGAGGCAGGGCCAGCTGAACCTCTTTTCCCCTCGTCCTCGGTTTCGAACGGCGGTTCCGCAGACCTTGGGGTTGAGCGTTGGTGGGCTACCAATACGCCCCACGTCGATGACAACAGCTCGGCAGACGCTGATGACGAAGAAGATGAAGAAACTAATCAGTCTTTCCCGTACTACGTACGTCAGGGGCCACTGAGAGTGCGTAATGCAGCAGTATCGCTATCATCAGAAGGCTCTGTCCCGGCGAGCGCTCCGACCGACTGGTATTACACACAAGACAGCGACGAGACTTCAGAGGGAAACCTTGCAGATGACGACATGGCTTTCTACGAAGGACTCTACGAAGAACCACATCCAGAGAACGACACCGGATCGATCGATCAATCGCAGTTCGCAGACTTCGACGGAGACTTTACGGGCGCCCCTTCGCTTACCAACGGCACCTCACCGGAGAACTCCTCCAGGAATAATTCGAGTAGCGGAAGGGTGTTGAGGGTCGCGAACCAGACCTCGCCTCAAGATGGCGCCGGGACCGAGAACGATGACTGCCCGAGTGAGAGCGAATCCGATGACGAACTTCCGCAACGGGGTCGGAGTAGAACTAGAAGAGCGTAGTAAGTCGTGTCTGTCTGCGACCGGTCTTATATTCGCATCCAGTCAATTCAACGTGAACCACACGTGAGAAGGGGACTGTAGGATGAGGTAGGAAGAATGCCACCAGAAAAACTTCAGGGAAGTAAATAAGAAACTGAATCCAGAGATACGCAACCCTTTGACGAGTCAATGACTGTAAATTTTGGTATGAAGTTCTGGCGGTGAGGAAGAATACCGTGGGTAGATCGACAGAGGATCTGAACGTTTACTGCTATGAACAGTGCGGAGACGCAGAGGTATTGAAGGAAACATTGCGTTCGGAGATTTTGGGAAGTAAGATTGGACGTGCCATTAGAGAAGTGATCAGTTTAATGAAAGAATGCTTACTATGTCTTTGGTGTATTTGCGTCGATGTTTTGGTGATGTACACAGCGCGTGCACGCTGAAGCTTCAAGGTGCGCTGCAGCAGGCTCGCGTCCCCCCTTGCCGACAATGCAGATGAGGCGCGACATTTGTCACCTCTAGATGAACTGGTTCATTATGCGAGCGCTTCTAGTCTCGTCCGCTCTTCCTATTTTCATCCTGAAACGCGTTCCTGAAATGTCAGGCAATGTCGCGTCGCGGGTCAGAGTTTCGGAACTGTGGCGGTGCGATGGTCCTTCCTCTTCGGAACTTGGGAAGCACTGATGTTAGCTGCAAAACTTGTTGAGATATTGGAGAACTGGATGGAATCTGCTATGCAGAGGACTTGTTCAGCATGTAGGATGTTGGTATGTATTTCATCGCGATGATCGATGGGGGCCAACGGGATGCCGATGTCATAATGTCTGCCTTGCCGGCCCGGCAGCGGCGTAGCCAGGAATGGCGCCTCAGCGCTAAACCCACTCGTCCCCCGCTATAGCCACAATCGTCACAGCGCATGGATGTGTCCGAGTGGGCGGATCCATGGCCGACAGCTACCCCCCAGCCATCCGATGGGGGCAGCCATGGACTACTGCGCCGCTGCTGCGGAAGGCCTTGGACGCCTATCGCAGCTGCCTTGTGCTCTCCAACTTTGATATGTGCCTGTGACTACGCGACTGCTAACCTCCTGTGCTGTGTAACGTGCCGCAGCCTCTACTGATCGCGCTCAACAGCATCTTGGTGACATAGCTTACAGCAGCTCCTTAGGCAGTGCTTGAGGGAATTGGACGCTCCTTTGGCAGTGTTGGAGGTTTATTTGAGAGAGAACGCATTGTACCTGGCTTTGGAAGCTCATCATGGAGGTATGCATCAGCTTATCTTCGCTTTTCGAGTCACGTCAGCTAACCATTGCGCAGAACACTACTACAGAACCATACCGCGACTCTCCGGCACGAGACCGGAGAACATCGCCTACCCACCAAACATCACCCAGCTCCTCAGACTCGTCCGCAACCATAAAACCGCTGTCCGCAACGCCTCCTCCCTACGCAGACGAAGAGCCCTACCGCGACGACCCCCAAACACCAACAGAAACAGCACCCTCGACGCGTCAAACCGCTTCACCGACCCACCAACGGCAGTCACAACGCAGTCCACCCTACCAACCATACACAGACTCACCACCCCACACCCCAGACGCCGACGACGTCCCCCTCGCCCACCTCGTCTCCCACGCGTACACGCAGTCGACGGAAATATCTCACCAGACCAACGATGCTTTCTATCCAGCCGACGCACCACCACCATACGCAATCGCAGTCCGACAGTCGTATCGCGACACGCTCGTGCAGTATGTACCGCGCGGCCAGCACGGGGGTCGCGAGGAAGACGAGGAGAGCCAGGTTGGTGTGGATGTGGTCAGGCCGGATGATGTGAGGTATTCGGTTGAGAATATTGTTGCGATGTTTGTTGTTGCGATAATGTTGTTGGTTGTGTCGGGGGTGCTGGCTTGGTTGGCGTTTGGGAGTGGGCTGGTGGGATGATTGGGATACAGCATTGTGATTTATGGTACACAGGCGAGCATTCTACACGGCTTTTGGATAGGGCGGTGGGATACTTGTTGGCGTTTACGTCGGATACATCGGATACATTGGATACGTTGGACACATGGGATACACTGGGTATATTGGAACGTTGGATGGTCGCATTTTGAAATCATTTTAGCACATACTTCGCATAGCATCAAGACATTGCCATTGGAAATTCTGATCGAGTCTCAAACATACGCATGGAAGTCAAGATCTACTGGTTAACGTGCTGCACAATTCGACGCTAGCATACCGTGACCGAACAGGCCCGGTTCCAAGTTTAGACACCAGCCTTACGGACCCTGGTGTGGAGAGTTTAGTGGGTCCGTAGCATGGCATCGATGGGCATCGGAACAAAGAAACGCGAAGATAGGACGAACTCGCAAACTGCACAGAGATGTCAAGCTTGTACCTTTGCAATTCGAACCCATTGCTCGCATAGGGCAAGGCATCCGCAACGTGCAACCTCAGGCATCTAGAGTGCTGAGGTGAGCAGTGAGCAGCGGACCCACCCAGCTCGGGCTTGTAAGACGGATGCATCAATGATGGATTGGTCAGGCCGCCAGAGTCAACTGCTTGAGGGAACTATCTTGTCCTCTCCAGATTCGGCCCTGCTCAGCACGTGGTGTTCGGCCGGGAATAGTCGTTGCATGTCGCTGGGGTACCGCTGGGAACTGGACAGAACAGGCGTGTTTGACAGCGGCTCGACGTGGCTGGTTGTGAGCGATATCCTTAGTATGTGGCGTAGGATGCCCAGGATGCTGACCGGCGGAGAGAGACCCGCTCTTTGTGTACAATTCACCCCGCCGCGTCAATTTCGCCAGCAAGCGCCGTGGCCAGGGACTTGAAGTGTTGGGTGTGCGCGCGCTGCATCTGCCGTGTCAAGCTCGAGGATACTTTGCCTGTCCTCCAGCTGCCCCAGCCAATTCCGGGACTGCGCCGCACCGCGTTGGCGGGCTTTCCTTCACACAGCCTTGCAGCTTGCGCCGTTTGGACCGCGCCCAGCTTGCTGTCAGCCGCAGCACCGCTCCCAGATATCCTGCACCGCACCCCTCCCGCCTGACCTCCCTCCTCCCTCCTCTCTCATGAGTTCCATGAACGCCCGTTTCAAGAACCTAGTGGGTTCGAAACGCAAGAGTTCCTCTCACAATCCCTCGCCCACGCCCCAAGGCAATCCCGCCCCCACGGGAGCGCAACGACCGACGTCGCTATCGCCCCAGGCTTCGAATTCCAGCAGCACCTCGCTCCCCATGAACCAGCAGAACCCCCTGGGCCGCCCGCCCTCGTACACCTATGCCCCGCCCGGCGGCCTCGGTGCGCCGCAACAACAGCACGGCCGGCCCGCGAGCCCTCTGCCGCCCATCAACACGGGCGCGCCTGGCTACCCGCCCCAGCAGACCCCCATGGGCTACCCGCCGCAGGCTGGCCCGCCTGGCTATCCTCCCCAGGGCCCGCCGGGAGCTGGACAGTACGGCCAGGGCTACGGCGCTCCACCGCCGGGCGCTCCTGCCCCTCATGGTCCCCCCACAACATACAACAGGCCCTCGGGCATGGCAGAGGTAGCGGGCGAAGGTCGCTCCAAGGCCCAGCTCATTGTGGGCATCGACTTTGTGAGTAGCCTCAGACACCACCGGACGCAGCAGCAGCTAATCATGCCACACAGGGCACCACCTTCTCCGGCGTCGCATTCGCCTTTGCGACCAACACCGAGGCCAAGGAAGACATCATCACCGAATGGCCGGGCGCGGGTAACCAGACAAAGCAGAAGGTGCGCTAGACCGACACTCCCACATGCACCCGTTAACCCTTCCCAGATTCCTACCGTCCTCTACTACGACCAGTACCAGAAGGTAGTCGGATGGGGCCCTGACATCGCCGATGCTCTGGCCCCCACGGGCTACCCCAAGCCTGGTGTGCAAAAGGTCGAGTGGTTCAAGCTGCAGCTCATGCTGTCCGGAAACACATACATCGACCCCATCAACCTCCCGCCGCTACCCCCGGGCAAGTCTGAGATCGATGTCGCCGCCGATTACCTCTTCCACCTGCGCCAGGCGATGCGGAACCAGCTGCAGAAGACACTTGGTGAGGTGTTCAATCGCGAGGAGCGCAACATCAGATACTACCTGACAGTACCCGCCATCTGGAACGACGCTGGAAAGGCTGCAACGCGTGCGGCTGCCATTCAGGCTGGTTTCTTGCGGGACGAAAACGACAACAGACTGACCCTCATCACCGAACCCGAAGCCGCCGCCATGTTCTGCTCAAAGACCGGTCTGCTCAACCTCAAGATACACGACGCCGTCCTCATCGTCGATTGCGGTGGTGGTACCGTCGATTTGATCGCCTACGAAGTCGAAGAAGAGCAGCCCTTCTCCGTCGCCGAGTGCACAGCTGGATCCGGAGACTCGTGTGGTTCCACCGCTCTCAACCGCAACTTCAGCAACATCCTGCGAGCCAAGATTAGGAAAATGAAACTCCCAGATGGCTCCAAGACAGCCGGTAAAGTGTACGCCAAATGCATCATGGACTTCGAGAACAGGATAAAAGCCGATTTCCGAAACAATGGTCAAAAGTGGGCTGTCGACGTCGGTATTGAGGCTGAATTCCCTGAGGCTGGCATTGAGGAGGGGTACATGACCTTCACCAACGAGGAGATTCTACAGTGCTTTGAGCCTGTGGTTAACCGCATTCTCGAGCTTGTCAGGAACCAGATTATTGCTATTCAGGCACAGAACAGGTCATTGCAGGTAAGCAGTCACAGATGTCGAAACAAGTCACTCTCAGTGCTGATTATAGTAGAACGTCTTGGTGGTCGGTGGTTTCGGTGCCTCCGAATATCTCTTCCAACAAATCAAACTCCACGTCCCGCCCCAATTTCAGTCAAAGGTCGTCCGTCCCATGGACTCCGTCGCCGCCATCGTCAAAGGAGCCGTTACAGCCGGTATCACAGAGCGAATTGTCACACACCGTGTTGCGCGTAGACATTACCTCATGGCCACTCTCCAGCCATTCAAGGAGGGCCACCATCCCGAGCAGTACCGTGTTCCGTCTCTCGACGGCAAAGATCGCTGCAAGTACACGCGCCAGATTTTCGTGCAAAAGGGCCAAAGAGTCAAGATTGGCGAGCCAGTCAAGGTCTCGTTCTTCAGACAGGTCGCGCCTGGTGCGACGCTCATGTATGAGGATATACTCTACGCATGCGACGACGATGTTTGCCCGGAGTACACCAAAGATCCTCGTAAGTGAAAAATATATCTGAACGAAATGTATGTACTAACAGCGAACTAGGTATCAAGGAAGTCGTCACCCTCACTTCTGACCTCTCACGGAAGAACCTCGAAAAGGACTTCGAACGCATGGATACCCCTCAAGGTACTTTCTACCGCGTCTACTTTGACATTTACCTCACACTCGACGGATCCGAATTCAACGCCGAGCTTGTCTGCCAGGGCGAGGTCATGGGCCGCTGCACTGCTCGCTTCAGATAAAAACATGACAATTCGCATCTTGATAATACCGAGCAAACTACGCACGACTGTTTTTTTCGAAAAAGTTGTTAATCTGCGGGAGAGCAAACATACTTTTGGACATTTTACTACCGGGATACTGGGCACGATGTATGGGTAGACGAGGACCATGATTGCGACTGTCTCTTCTGCGCGCGTCCTCTTTTATCTGTCTTTTTTGTGGACCATTTTTTTCTCCTGACGATCTGGTCCAGGGCGATTGATGATGTTATATAAGCATACCCCCTCTTCAAACGTTTGAAATAGCAAAATCTTTATCATTGTTTCAATTGGTGCATTTTCGATAGACGTAAAGATGAAAATATGAGTGTCAGTGAAGATTGCAATATTCTGCTTCGAATGAATTCCTCTACACAACGCACACTACCTCTTGGAAAGAAATGCATGAAGAAGATGTCAAGAAAGAGCAGGCTTAGGCCCAGAAACACAAATTCGAAATTCCCTCCCACTCAGCCACCATTCTTTCCTATCCTTCCGCTCCATGAAGCTCATGTCCTGTCCTGTCCTCACCTCAACGCCACAACCCACTAACCGTCTCCACACCCCTCTCAACCACAGCCTTAACCCTCGCCCTCAACGCATTATTCGCGCACTCGACCTCCAAATCCTCCAACCAGACCTTGGCCACAAACTTGTCAAACTTGATCTCCACCCCCGGAACAGGTATACCCAGATTATGCAGTCGCTTCAACTCCGTCTTGTCCTCCGCGCTCAACTGGTCGTCTGGCGCGATGGGAGGGGGGAACGCGGTGATGTTGGAGACAGGCTCCGTGGAGGAGTCGGGGGTGGAGGTGGAGGTGTCCATGGAATCTGGGTGGGCGGCGGCGGCGGCGGCGGCGGGAGTCCCGTTTGTGGTGGCGGTTGTGGTGCTGTTGCGGGGGAGGGTGATGGGGCGGACGGCTTCTTCGCCGAATTGGGCTTCGAGGAAGAGGAAGAGGCGGGCGAGGCGTGTGGAGGGGTCGGTGGTGCGGTGGGGGTGTGGCTTTTTGAAGCGGTGGGTTAGTTTTGTGGTGGTTATGTCGTCTTCGGCTTCTGGTTGGGGCGCGTGGCTGTGGGAGTGCTGTTTTGAGGATTCTGGAGGGTGGTGTTAGTATGAGGGTTGATTGGGGCTGGGAGGGGAGGGAAGACTTACGTCGGACAGCTGCTGGTGAGGACTCGACTGTGAAGAGGACGGCGAGGACGGCGTCGGCGATACCGTCGTTGATTACGTTGCCTTCCCATTCTACTTCTACTCTTCCTCCGTTTTTGATCAGGACGTTTACGCAGTCCATTATTGTGAACTTGGTCTCTGTTCGGCTGACTTCTTCGTCTGCTTCTTCCTTGTGACTTGTGCCGTTGCCGTTCATCTTGCCGTCAACGGCAGCATCCGTGAGATTGCTCTCTTTGATAGCGCCAAAGGTTCCTTCGAGCGCCCATCGTATGAGATCG